AACACTGACCGAAGCGAGTCGCGTATGGATGCCCGATTTGTTCTTTGCGAATGAAAAGGAGGGCCACTTTCACAACATCATCATGCCGAACGTCTACATTCGTATTTTTCCATACGGTTCCGTACTATACAGCATCAGGATATCGCTTACTTTGGCGTGTCCTATGAATCTGAAACTGTATCCACTCGATAGGCAGGTGTGCTCGCTCCGGATGGCCAGTTGTAAGTAGAGAAATAGATTTTTTGTAGAGTATATATATATATATATATATATATATATATATTATATATATTGTATGATTCTGAATTTGATGTTGGCATATGTATTAACAAAGTCTAATAATCGGACATAACATCAATAAAAAAACAAATTTCTTTCAAAAATTTATTTTAAATCCATACGTTTCGGCTATAATTCTAGCCTTCATTCAGTGGAAACTAAAAATAAAATTAAAAACTAGAACAATTGAATCGGAGTGAAAATAAAAAATAAAAAGAGTAAATAGTACTTACAATTAGTTAATCTTAGTGTTAAATTGGAAGATTTTAATAATCCACGGTATTAGGATATGGTAATGCACTACACTATGTATTATAAACATTAAACTTGTAATTACACAATATGTTTAGTAAAATGACCTTTCGGTTTGAATGGCCAAAAAAGTATTTGTTGAGATAGGTTCCAAGTGTTTAATAAGTTCGTGATCTATCTGGATGCTGCCGAACTCTATTGAACACTTGCACTTTGCCGAAGGACCAGATATATTTAGTTGTTGGCTATATCAGACCGTTTGAATAAAAATAAAAGATGTTGAATAACTGTTTGATTATTGTGTATTTGAAATATAAGACTTATAGATGATTAGATAGTTGAGGTTTGAATTAGATGTTTTGGATTTGAGTGTTAATTTACGACTGATCTTAGCTATGTGAAATTTAGGTTGATACTAAATTATGTAGATTTTATAATTTTATATATTCTTCTGATTGGCCCATTTTGTGGAATTAAGGACACCCCATTACAAATTTGGAACCAATCAGTGGTTATTACATTTATCAATCGATCAGGTATTGGTTGATAAATTGCATGATACGGAGAATTTAAACTGGACACAGGTAGTGCGAATTTCTTGGAAATATAAGGATGGTAGGATCATATAGCTAGGGACAGGTGATAAAAATTCTAGGAAAAATGGATTACTGATTTTGCGACAGGATGCGTATCAATGAAGGGGTTTATTGTCGCTATCCTGCATGGAGATAATAAAATATTATAATTATACCAGGGTTGGGAAAGACGCGTTGACACAATATTTTCACAAAAAAATACTAATTTAAAAAATTACAATTGGATAGTGTGTTGTTCGTAGACTGGTTGAAGATATAATGGAGGAAGGACTTTTTAAAAAATGTTTTTTACCAAGATTCTACACATGTGTGGAACGAATTGCGAATCCTTTGCGCGTCGTTTTTATTGCTTTGTGATAAATTTGGAAATACTATCTAATCTATCTGCAAATAGTTAAAAAAAAGATCCTTCTATATTTCTTCGTTTGAATAAATTTTGTTCGAATTGTAGTACAATCGGGTTAGAAAAGTCCATATTCTGTTTCAAAGTATAAATTTGCTCCGCAATCATAGTTTTAAATTGTCTCGGATTTTTTGAATTGTTTTTATGTTGTTGTAAATGTTTCATTAAGTTCTGCTTTCGATCAAATGATCCGCAAAAACGCGAAAACGGCTAAACCGATTTGGCCAGTCTTAGTCTTGAAAAATTCGCGCATAGAAAACTTTACATTTTTTATTTGAAAATTTTTGTAGAAGCGTAATTTAAGTAAAACAATGGATGGTGACAAATACGTCAAATGTCAAACATTTTTAACAGATGATGTTCAATTATGTTTAATAGGATGCTTTACGTGAATATTATTTAATTGTAGTAAGAAGTTTCATTTGTACTTTTATTTATACACAAAAACGTTATTGAACGGATCGCAAGTGTTACTAGAAACTCAAAATATCAACTTTTTTGAAATGCTAATATGAAAATGCACTTTTTGCCATATTTTTTTCAAACACGGTGCTCTGAAAGATCTCATTTGTATAATTATATACTCATTATTTAAACTTAGAACCTAAATTTGATATCGATCAAATGGACATTTTGTCGAATAACATTTTCCCAGTTATAATTTTCCAGAATTTATCGAAGAATAGATAGTCGAAGATATATGAAGGTCCTAGGTTAAAAAGGTCCACCACCGATGTTTCAAAAAGCATTAAGTTAACTATTGTTTAACAAAGATATTTGAAAGTAGAGGGAAAAAGATGTATAACCAGCAATAACCTCGATTCTCTTGACTTTGCTTTCGGGAGATAAACGGTGATCTTTGAAAATCCATAATAAAAGTATTTTCTTCCTTTGGTAGTTTTTCAGCATTAGTTAAAAGTGTAATTTTGTAAAATACCTTTAAAATTAAAATAAGACATTGTAAGAAAAAAGGTCTAGATAACAAATTTTTGAAAGACATAAAAAAGCACGTTTCTACAATGATGAAGTAGCTGGCAGTTTTACTGAACGTAGTCAGATAATTGTTTGTTTGAAATGTGTTATTTGTTGTGATATAATTGGTTTGATTATTATAATATAATTAATATTTGTCAAAGTCAAATTGAACCTTTGTGCCTCGCCATAGCAAAACAACGTTTGCCGGGTCAGCTAGTGTATATATCTTAGGGTGGTCCTTAAAATGGTCATTTTCGAATTTCCTTGCTCCCAGGGGCTCAAATGGTTCCAAATAGATAAAAACAATTCTCTGAAAATTTTAGCTCTTAATATTAACGTTTAGATAGAGCGCAATTCAATCAAATTTTTTATGGAAATAGCATGAAAAATTTTCAAAAATTTTAAAATGTTTTTTAAATGTAATTTAGCGAACAATGAATGAATAAACTCATCATTTGTCGCTAAGTTTACTTAAAACATTTTTTTTTAATTTTCAAAAATTTTTCCATGCTCTTTTTCATACAAACTTTGATTGAATTGCGCTCTATCTAAACGTTAATATTAAGAGCTAAAACTTTCAGACAATTGTTTTTATCAATTTGGAACCATTTGAGCCCCTGGGAGCAAGGAAATTCGAAAATGACTATTTTAAGGACCACCCTAATATATATATATATATATTATATATATTATATATATATATATACATATATATATATATATATATATATATATATATTGATGTACGTATGTTTTAGATGGTTGGACCACAAACGATCTGGTGTTTTTGTGGAAGGAAGGTGATCCGGTGCAGGTTGTCAAGAACCTACATTTGCCCAGATTTACGTTGGAGAAGTTCTTGACGGATTATTGTAACAGCAAAACCAATACCGGTAAGTGCGTGCACCCTAAAACCCAAATTTGGTTTAAATTGCTTACTTTCAGTTTATTATAGCAACTTTTATTCTCACGTTTCATACGGCATTCAATTCTGGGGTTTCTCATCCGAACTAATTAAAATATTTAAGCTTCAGAAAAGAGCTATTCGAATAATTTTTTCCTTGCCCAGTAAAGCCTCCTGCAGACCCATATTTAAAAATACAATATTCTAACTGTCCCATGCATTTTTCTGCTGGTGACATTAACTTTCATCAAAAACAATTCGAAACTTTTTGATATGGCTTCGTCCTCCTCAAACTACAACACTAGGCACAAACTTATTAAGACGTGCACATATAAATTAGCCAGATTTTTCAATACGATCGACGGTCTAGGTATTCAGCTTATGAATAAACTTCCACTCAATATCCGAAATTTATACAGCAAAAAATTTCATGCTTCCCTAGTTAAACTTTTTAAAGAATTAGCTTTTTATGACATTACTGAATTTTCTCAATTTGATTTCAATAACTATTTTCTTGCATAATCCTTATCCTTTATCTATGTAGTCTGACCATTTGATCGCATGTACAACCATATATTTTTTATTTTTTTTATTGCTATTTTATTAATTTAAATTTTTTACGGTTTTAAATCAGTATAACTTTCAACCTTGTGCAAAAATTTTGAGCTTGACTGGTGGCCAAATAGACTTTGATATGATGAACTTGATGATGAACATTGTATTTAATGTTCGAATGCTTTTTTTCAGCTCTTTTTATTCAGAAGCGGAATTCGTGCAGCTATTATGATTATTATAAAATTAATATCCTTTTAATATTAATTATGAATAAGCTTGACAAGAGCTTGAAATTATATCTATTATTATTGATTACGGCTTGCTTATGAATAAATAAATAAATAAATAGATATTTGTAAGGCATAATGCTAGAACTACATTGATTAAATTTTTTTCTCAGGTGAGTACAGTTGCCTGAAGGTCGACCTGCTCTTTAAACGAGAGTTCTCGTACTACCTGATCCAGATCTACATTCCTTGCTGCATGTTGGTGATAGTTTCCTGGGTGTCGTTCTGGTTGGACCAGGGAGCGGTTCCGGCCAGAGTATCACTAGGTAAGATTGTTATTTACGTGGTATCGATACTTTGCATATACAAAACTCTGTGTCACTTCAGAAAGTCGATACGTTGTAGAAACAATGCTTTTGTTACTTTACAAAATCGATGCACCAGTCCCTTACTTATACTTTGTTTCGATATGTTTTTGTCACTGTGTATTGATATTTTTCGCCTATTATTTTATTAAAATCTATTCTGTTTGTCGATACTTTGTACAGTATCATGCAACCATAAATTTTAAAATCGATACTTTCTTCCTGTAATGAAAGAAAAAGAGACTCTACTGACGAGCAAACTGAATATTAATGGGAAAAGGGACTCTACTAACGAGCAAAATTTAAAATTAAAGTATAAAGGGACTCTACTGACGAGCAAATTAAAAATGAAATAGAAATGGAGTCTACTGACAAGCATACTAAAAGTTAATAGGAAAGGGGAGAAAATCTCTCTAAAATTAAAAAAAGAGGTGATGATCAAATTAAGAATGGAAGAAAAAGGAACTCTTCTGACGAGCAAACTGAAAATTAAAGAAAAAGGGACTCTACTGACAAGCAAATTAAGAATGAAAGAAAAAAGGACTCTACTGACGAGCATACTAAAAATAAAATTTAAAGAAACTCAACTGACGAGCATACTAAAAATTTAAAAAAGAGACTCTACTGACGAGCGAACTAGAAATTAAAAAAAGGGACTCTACTGACGAGCAATCTTAAAATTAGAGGAAAAATAGACTCTACTGACAATCAGATTAAAAAAAATTGAAGATAAAATTAAAAATGGACTCTACTGACGAGCAATCTAAAAATGAAAGGTAAAAGGAATTCTACTGACGACCAAACTAAAAATTAATAAAAAAAAGACTCTACTGAAAGAAAAAGGGACTCTACTGATGATCAAATTAAAAATTAAAGAAAAAGAGACTCTACTGACAAGCAAGATTAAAAATAAAAGGTGAAAGGGACTCTACTGACAAGCAAAACTAAAAATAAAAGTAAAAGGAACTCTACTGACGAGCAAATTAAAAATTTAAAAAAAGGGTCTCTGCTGACGAGCAAGCTTGGATATTAAAAAAAAGGGACTATACTGACAAGTAAACTAAAAATAAAATTAAAAAGAGACTCTACTGATGATTAAATTAAAAATGATAAAAGAGGTATTCAACCGACGAGTAATTTAATTAAAGAAAAAAGGGATGCTACTGACGAGCATACTAAAAATTAAAGAAAAAGAGACTCTAATGACGAGAAAAACTAAAAATTTAATTAAAAATGGACTCTACTGATGACCAAATTAAAATTGAATGAAAAAAGGACTGTACTGACGAGCAATGTAAAAATATAATTAAAAAGAGACTAAACTGATGACCATACTACAAATTGAAGAAAAAAGGGACTCTACTGACGTGCATACTAAAAATAAAATTAGAAGTGGGCTCTACTGACGAGCAAAATTAAAAATATAATCAAAAATGGACTCTACTGACGAGCAAACTAAAAATTAAAGATAAAAGGAACTCTACTAGCAAACCAAAAATTAAATTTAAAGAGACTCAACTGACAGCCAAATTAAAAATTAATAAAAAAGTACTCTACTGACGATCAAATTAAAAATGAAAGAAAAGGGACTCTACTGATGAGCAAACTAAAAGTTAAAGGAAAAAAGAACTCTACTGACGAGCATTCTAAAAAAAATTGAAATGGACTCTACCAGTGATTAAATTAAAAATGAAAAAAGGACTATACAGACGACCAAACTACAAAGTTAAAGGGAAAAGGACTCTACTGACGAGCAAAACTAGAAATTTAAGGAAAAAGGGACTCCACTGACGGGCAATCTAAAAATTAAAGGAAAAAAGGACTCTACTGACGAGCAAACTATAAATTAAAAAAACGGTTCAACCTCCGAGCAAACTAAAAGTAATATCGAAATTGGACTCTACTGATGATCAAATTAAAAATGAAAAAAGGGACTCTGCTGACTAGCAAAACTAACAATAAAAGAAATAAAGGAATTCTACTGAGAAGTAAACTAAAAATAAAATTAAAGACAGACTCAACTGAAGATGGAACTAGAAATGAAAGAAAAAGGGACTCTACTGACGAACAAAATTAAAAATAAAAGAAAAATAGACTCTACTGATGATGAAATTAAAAATGAGAGAAAAGGGGACTCTACAGACGAGTAATTTAAAAATTAAAAAAGGACTCTACTGACGAGCAAACTATAATCAAAATAAATTGGGACTTAAAGGAACTCGATTTTCCTAGTATCGTTACTTTTTGTTAATATTGTTTATTAATCTGTACCTTGTGTCTATAGTTTTCTTTATTGTCACTATTATATTATTAACGATTTTATTCTTTATGTCGATACATGTACTGTCTTCACTTTATGTCGATAATTTTATACTACTGCCCTTTTTCTTACGTATTTTTGCCTGTTTAGTCTACACTTTATGTCGATGTCTTTCTAAAACTTTCCGGGCAATTCTGACTCATAAAATAACATTGTCATGGCAACCATATCTAATGCTAGTGCGATCAGGCACTATTTTACATATGTTTCACTAACAAGTACAAGTATAAGCATTGCCATGAAAATGCTATTTTATGAGGCAGAATTGACCGGTTTTCTTCATTACCCAATACCGAACTTATGCCTTGGTTTTTATTATTTCCATAATTTTCCTTCACCAGGTGTGACCACTCTCCTCACCATGGCCACCCAGACGTCGGGCATAAACGCCTCCTTACCGCCAGTGTCCTACACAAAAGCCATCGACGTCTGGACCGGAGTCTGCCTCACGTTCGTCTTCGGGGCTTTGCTCGAATTCGCCCTCGTCAACTACGCCTCCAGATCCGATATGCACAGGGAGAACATGAAGAAAAAGCGCAGGGAACTTGAACAGGCAGCCAGCCTGGACGCCGCTTCTGACCTGATGGACGGCACTGATGGTACCTTCGCTATGGTGAGTGTAATAATAACAACTAATAGTGCAGAGAGGAACTAGTGGTGTATGGCATCGTGCCTTAAGGCAAATTGCTGGAACTTCCCCCGTACCGTAATGAGATATTCGAGAAATTTTAAACGTATTATTACAAATACTGTAACTTTCATTATTCTTGCTATTTTGTTATATCTGAGCAAATCAAATTATGTAAATCATAAATCATGAATCAATTTATCTCGTCATTTCATTTCGAATTCAATTTCAAAAAAAAAAATAGTTGCCTAATTTACACAAAATTAAAAAAGTGCTCCCGTACAGTCAAAGTCTAAACGCATTTGCAAATAATTCTGTTCGACATCTTCACTTGTACTGTGCTTAGCTTGGCGGCATTTATAAGAACTAAAATGATTGTTGTTAAATTGAGGAGGCTACATTTTAATATATCTCGTTTTTATATTTTTGGACCGGTTCGATTTTTATTTGTTTATAACTTCTAAACAAATTGCCCGATTGTTTTTCAATATCCAGCAAATTTTTAGCCAATTAAATTATCTACAACTTTTGTCAATAACAAAATGTTGTATCTCATATCCTTTTACCCAAAATTTGCAATGAAACAGGTTGTTGTTAAATTTTGGAGTTTGCATAGTATATCTTGCTTCACACTTTTGGACCAGCTCGATTTTTATTTAACTATTTATAACTTCAAAACGAAATGTCCCACCATTTTGCAATATTCAGCAAATTTATAGCCAATTAAATTATCTACAATTTCTATTAACAACAAAAATTGGTATCTCTTGTCCTTTTATCAAAAATTTACATTTAAAAAGGTAGTTGCTAAATTTTGGAGGTAACACATCATACTCATGTATCTTACTCTGTCACTATGCACTGTCAGGTATATGTTGCTCTTTTTCGCACTAGTGTTTTATATCTCTCTCTCTCTGATTTTCTCACTATATACTGTTGTCTCTTTTACGTTTAATCAAAACAGACTCTATATCACATCGCGACTTAAGAAGTTTTACTTCAAAAATAAAATTCTATTTTACTAATTTATACATCGCCAACCTAAGAAGTTCAATTCAAATGTAAATCATAAATCAATCAATTTATCTCCAGAACATTAACAATCGTTCGTCATTGCATTTCGAATTCAATTTCAAAAAAAAATTGTTGCCTATTTTGCACAAAATTGAAAAAGTGCTCCCATATAGTCACAGTCTAAACGCATTTGCAAATAATTCTGTGCGACATTTTCACTTGTACTGCGCTTAGCTTGGCGGCATTTTCACATTTTTAAATAGTTTTCACAAAATTGGAAAAGTGCTCCAGTACATAAACAGTCTAAACGCGCATGGGTAAACATTTGTACCAGAGTGACGCTTAGACTGTGCTTAGCGTGGGTAATTTTTTCAATTTTTAATCCAAAATTACAAAATAAAATTAAAAATAGACTATATATGATCAAATTAGAAATGAAAAAATAGGACTCTACTGATGATCAAATTAAAGACGACCAAACCAAAATTAATGAAAAAGGGACCTTACTGACGAGCATATTAAAAACAAAAGAAGAATAGACTCTACTGATGACCAAATCAAAAATGAAAAAAAGGGGACTGTAATGACGAGCATACTAAAAATAAAATAAATAGAGACTCTACTGACGAGCAAACTAAGAATTGAAAGAATAAGGGACTCTACTAACGAGCAAACTGAAAATTACAGGAAAAGAGACTTTACTAACGACCAAACTGAAAATTGAAAGAAAAAGGGACTCTACTGATGATCAAACTAAAAATTAAAGAAAAGGGGACTCTACTGACGAGCAAAATTAAAAATAAAAGGTGAAAGGGACTCTACTGACGAGCAAAATTAAAAATAAAAGGTGAAAGGGACTCTACTGACGAGCAAAATTAAAAATAAAAGGTGAAAGGGACTCTACTGACGAGCAAAATTAAAAATAAAAGGTAAAAGGGACTCTACTGACGAGCAAAAACTAAAATTAATATAAAAAATGGACTATATTGATGATCAAATTAAAAACGCAAAAAAAAGAACTTTACTGGCGAGCAAAATAAAAAAACGACTCTACTGACGAGCATACTGAAAATAAAATTAAAAATTGTCAAATGAAAAATGAAAGAAAAGGGGACTCCACTGTCGAGCAAACTAAAAATTAAAGAAAAAAGGATTCTACTAACAAGCAAATTAAAAACTAAAGCGATTTGAATGATCTAAAAAGCATTCAATTTGTGATGATTGGGAGAAGTGGTGATTAGTTTTTGGCAAAAACAGGTCCCGCCATTTCCGAAAATGGCAGTTTTTGCGAAAACTAAGCTTCTAATTTGAATTATCTAAAAAACTTTCTGATTGTATTGACAAAACAATTGCTTTTGAGGATAAAAAATAATTTAATGAGGTAAAAAATGAGGATAAACATCTTTTTTATTTTCCATAAATTTTTTGTAATTTTGGATTAAAAATTCAAAAAATTATCCAGGGCTAAGCACAGTCTAAGCGCCACACTGGTACAAATGTTTACCCAAGTGCGCTTAGACTGTTTATGTACTGGTGCACTTTTCCAATTTTGTGTAAACTAATTGAAAAATGTGAAAATGCCGCCAAGCTAAGCAGTATAAGTGAAAACGTCGCACAGAATTATTTGCGAATGCGTTTAGACTGTGACTGTACGGAAGCACTTTTCCAATTTTGTGAAAACTTAATTGAAAAACGTGAAAATGTCGCACAGAATTGTTTGCAAATGCGTTTAGACTGTGACTGTACGGGAGCACTTTTTCAACTTTATGAAAACTATTAAAAAATACGAAAATGGCGCCAAGCTAAGCACAGTATAAGTGAAAATGTCGCACAGAATTATTTGCAAATGCGTTTAGACTGTGACTATACGGGAGCACTTTTTCAATTTTGTGCAAATTAGGCAACCAACTATTTTTTTGAAAATGAAATCGAAATGAAATGACGATTGTTAATGTTCGGGAGATAAATTAATTATGATTGACATTTGATTTGTTCAGATGTAACAAGATAGCAAAAATAATGAAAGTTTTACAGTATTTGTAATAATATATTTGAAAACGTTTGAAATTTCTCGAATATTTCATTACGGTACTGGAAGTTCCAGCAATTTGTCTTAAGGCACGATGCCATACACCACTAGTTTGTATTTATATTTATATTACTGCACTACTAGATGTATATTATTTCCTTAATAGGTTGTCAAATATCTCCCTTCCGCTTTTTTGCTCTTGGTTTATAATACCAAAAGGCGGAAGGGAGATATTTGACAACATTATATATAATATTTATTTTATCCTAATTTATTCAAAATTTATTTAATTATATATTAAAATTCCATTTGTTATTAAGTTTAATAAAATTTTCGATATCTCTGTCGAATTTGCAATCATCAAAAATTAGTATTGCCAGAGTTGAAATACGACGAAGTGAAGAATTATTAATATATATTTATTTTATTTTAAATTATTTAAAATTTATTTATTTATATATTAAAATTCTCTTTTTTTTATTAAATTTAACGAACTTTTCGATATCTTTATCCAATTACTACATTCCTCCTGATTGTTCCAGAAGCCTCTGGTACGCCACTCCGTCGACGCCGTAGGTCTGGATAAGGTTCGCCAGTGCGAGATACACATGCAGCCGGCGTCCAGGCCGAACTGCTGCAGGAGCTGGATAAGCAAATTCCCGACGAGGTCGAAACGCATCGACGTCATATCAAGAATCACTTTCCCGCTGGTGTTCGCCCTATTCAATCTGGTCTATTGGTCGACCTACTTGTTCAGGGACGAGGCGGAGGAGAATTAAAGGATGAAAGAGGATTTATGGGTATTTATAATGTGGCAACACTTTTTTTTACTATCTGAATTTGGTGGTGGGGGGATATTAATGCACCGATTCGGCCGCATAATAGACCTATGTTATGAAGAACTTTCAATACAAAGTTGTTCTAAATGTGGTTGTTGTGCAATCAGGTGTATACCTCTCGAATAATCAAATTAAAATTGAAGAATGAAGGAACTCTACTGATAATGAATGAGAAAAAGGGACTCTACTGACGAGCAAACTTAAAATTAAAAATAAAGAATGAGAAAAAAGGGACCCTACTGACAAGCAAACTTAAAATTAAAAATAAAGAATGGGAAAAAAGGACTCTACTGACAAGCAATTTAAATTTTAAAACAAAAAAAAATTATAAAGGACCTTACTGACGAGCAAATTAAATTTTAATTCAACAATCTAGAAAGGGACTCTACTGACGAGCAAATTATTATTAAACGTGAAAGATGAGAAAAATGTCAAGTAAAGATGAGAAAATAAAAGAGGGGCTCTACTAACGAGCAAACTATACGTCAATCAAAGAACAAAAAGGACTCTACTGACGACAAATTAAATTTCAAACTAAAAACTATTTTAGAAAGGGACTCTACTGACGAGCAAATTATTATTAACCTAGTTTTAGGAAAAGAAGATCCAGTAAAATTGAGGGAATTAAAAAGGGACTCTATTGACAAGCAAACTTTATGTCGACGAAAGAAGAAAGAGAACTCTACTGACGAGCAAACTCAATTTAACAAGAAATTAACAAGCAACTCTGACGAGCAAATTATTATCAACCCAGTACGTGGAAAAGAAGGTCCAGTAAAAATTATTTTCAATCTTTGAAAAGGGACTCTACTGACGAGCAAACTGTATGTCGACCAAAGAACAAAGAGGACTCTACTGACGTGTAAATTAAATTTCAATGTGAAATATTACCAAGGGATTCTACTGACGAGCAGATTATTATAAACGTGAAAGATGAAAAAAATGTCCAATAAAAATGAGATAGTAAAAAAAGGACACTACTGCATGTCGACCAAAGAACCAAAAGAGGACTCTACTGACGAGCAAATTAAATTTTACACTAAAAAATAAACAAGGGACTCTACTGACGAGCAATTTCTTATAAAATTAAAGCAAAAAGGGACTCTATTGACGAGCAAAACTAAAATCAAATTAAAAAGGGACTCAGTTATCCTTTTTGTTGATATTTTTTTAGCAACGACATTTTGTCTTGATATTATCAGATAGAAAATCTAACCTAGAAAACGCGCAAATGTCACAAGAACGATGTTAGATAACAGGGTCTTTCTGATTCGTGTTCATAACATACGAGTGACGTCGAAGTTTATGTGTAAAACGCCCGAATGCACAGCAAATACATGACATTTTGACAGTATTCAGTATGATTCAGTAGCATAATGTATGGTAACATAGCCTTGCCATAACATTAGTCTGTTGTGCGGCACAATCGGTTCAATGGTTATTGTTACCCATACAAATTTATAACGTGGCAACACTCTTTAGGACTATCTATTGTTGCAAGGAAAATTGACAGTTTTTTAGGTTAAGGTTGGAATTTTATTAAGAGCATTTGATTTTTTGTTAATTTTTGCGTGGATAAAATTAACGAGCGAGGAGTTCTAGATGTGAATTTATTTATAGCATAGCAATATTATTTTGCACTACCTATATTGATGAGAAAATTGAGTTTTTAGGTTAAGGTATAATTGTTCTTGATATTTTTTTTTTAAATTTAATTATTTTTAATAATTCTGACGATCAAAGAACAAAGAGGACTCTACTAACGAGCAAATTAAATTTTAATCTAAAAAAAACTAGAAAGAGACTCTACTGACGAGCAAATTATTAAAAAATATGAAAGAAGAAAAAGAAAGTCTAATAAGAAAATGAGATAGTAAAAACAGGACTCTACTGACGAACAAACTGTATGTCAACAAAAGAACAAAAAGGACTCTACTGACGAGCAAGTTAAATTTCAACCTGATTGACAGTTTTTTAGTTTAAGATAAAAAAATTCTTGATAATTTATTATATTATATTTATTCTAAAAAATTAAATAAATTTATTCTTAATTCTTTTTTGACGGGATAAAATTAAAGAGCAAAAAGCCATCGAAAATTTTTATTATTTATGAGTTCAGGGTGAAGACTTGACAGTTTTTGAGGTTAGAATGAAATTTTTGTTAATAATAAATATCAATTCAGCTCTTGTTATGCTAAATCGCATTTTATTTCATCATTTTTTTGAGAAATTGCCAGTTTTTGGGGTTTTTAGATAAGGTCGAGCGTGTTGCCATAGTTAAATTACGACCCCCTAGTGTTGCCATATGTGAAATTTAATCCCCGAGGCGAACTAAAAGTAAGTTCGTAAAAGTACGAGCGTTGTTTAGAGGAAATAATGATAAATTGTTATTTTTTTATTATAATTAATTAGTTAATTAGTGTTTTGTGTGGAATTCTTGTTGCCAAAGGGCTCGCTTAAGGTACGAATAATATATTAATACGTTTGCAATTTAATTTTATTAATTGGATTAAATAAAAATTTCACAAATTTTGAATTAAAATATCAGAAATTTTATCTTGAGCGAAGCCTATAAGACTTTTAAAGACGATTTTATGCAAATGGTAAAAATAATTATTAAAATTATACATTGAAATTAAAATTAGTTACAAATTAAAAAATATTAGTATTGCCAGAGTTGAAATAGGACGAAGTACGAATTTTTAATATATAATATTTATTTGGTATTAATTTATTCAAAATTTATTTATTTATCTATTAAAATTCTATTTTTTTATTAAATTTAACGAAATTTTGGATTTCTCTATCAAATTACAATCAGTATTGCCACAGTTGAAAAACAATTAAGTATTGCCAAAGTTGAAATACAAATTGTTTGATTTTACAGGAATTAAATTCATTTTAGTATGAATATTTTTTTTGAATTATTATCAAAAGGTTTTTAATTGTTTGTATATAATCGTCTTAAATTTTATCTGTAATTATAAATTATAAGAATCGACGTGATCAATTAACAACTCAAAACATTGAATACGTAATTTTAAAGAGAAAAAAAAACTACATGAACCCCATATATAAAAATATAAAAAATAATATAAAACAGATAACAATTATATTATAAATTAATGATAAATGTTATCAACTTATATCGTGTTAGTATATAAATAGTATATGGTTGTATGTGAATCAAAAACAAAATCTTATAAGGATAAGATAAAGATGAGATTGAGATAAGATAAGATTATTTATGGGCTTATTCTTGGATAATATTGCAAAGATAAGAGTGTGTTGAATATTTTTGCTATTTTCGGTGCACTTGTTTATTTATTTTTTTGATAAATTATGTAAATAAAGCTTTTCCTGGCCTCATAAATTAGTCTGTAAAAATTGTGAATGTATATCTATTTGCCGTGCGATCAGGCGTATTTTACATATAAACAAGTAAGGAAGAATGTTTGAAGATTATGTTATCATAAGATTCTTCCTTGCTTGTTTATATGTAAAATACGCCTGATCGCACGGCAAAGAGATAGACATTTTTACAGTTGCCTTGACAACAATATGTTATGAGGCAGAATTGCCCCATTTATTTACATTTGTGATACTGTCAACATATAAACAAAAAGAACTCTCCTGACAAACAAATTATGAAAAATGAGGACAAGCAAACTGAGATGAGAAAACACAAGACTCTACTGTACTGTGAATTCTAGGCAAGGGGATTAAAAAGGTACTCCACTGACAAGCAAATTATTAAAAACTTGAAATTAGAAAAAAAGGTCTAATATAGATGAAAAATCAAAAAGGGACTCTATTGACAGGCAAACTGTATTTCGACCAAAGAAGAGGACTCTACTAACGAGCAAATTAAAATTCGATCCAAAAAAATTACAAAAAGGACGAATCTACTGACGGACAAATTAAATTTTAAAGTAACGTAGAAAAGGGGACTCTACTGACGAGCAAATTGAATTTCATAAAGAGAAACAGAAAAGAACTGACAAGGAATTTCAAATTAGATGTTAAGTAACAATAGGACTCTACTGACGAGCGAAAAAAGAAGACTCTAATGACGATCAAATGAAATTTCAATCTCAAAAATAACGAGGGACGAGCAAATTATTATAAGCAAAATGAAACATAAAAACGAAAGTTTAACAAGATATGAAATAAAAAAGGGACTCTACTGACAAGCAAACTGTATTTTGGCCAAAGAAGTCAGAGGACTCTACTGACGACCAAATAAAATTTTATTCTGAAAAATTAATAAGGGACTCCACTGATAAGCAAATTAGATTTTAATCTAAAAAATGAACAAGGGACTCTACTGACGACCAAATTAAATTTCCATTAAAAAAGTTAACAAGGGACTCTACTGACGACCAAATTATTCAAAATATGAAAAATGAAAACAAAAAAGTCTAATAAAGATGAGATGGTAAAAAGGGACTCTACTGACGAGCAAATTAGGTTTCAAACTAAAAAATGAACAAGGGACTCTACTGACGAGCAAACTAAATTTAAAAAAAGGCTTCGACTAGCGAGCTAAATTAATCTTGTTGACACAAGAGTGAAAAAGGACTCTACTGAAGAAGAAACAGGATAGATAATCAACATGATGTGTAAAAGGGGACTCTACTGACTAACAAACCCAATCTCGACTGAGAATGAAAATTCTCTTCAGGACTCTACTGACGATCAAATTACAATTTCAACCTGAAAAATTAACAGGAGACTCTACTGACGACCAAGAAGGTCTAATGAATCTCTAAATGAAAATAAAGAAGACAAATTAAATTTCAACTCATACTGTCAACTTCTTAAAACTAACCCCCAAATAACACAAATAACATTAGTACAACTTCACGCCTATTAGAGTTATTATAAACTGGTTAATGTTATCCCATAGTGTTGCCATATAGCATAAAACATGTCTGACCTTATCCAAGAATAGACCCATTAGTAAGAAAAAAATATTTGGACAGATTTATATGATAAGAAAATTATTATAATTTTTAGTGAAGATTTTTATGGATCTGAAATTATTGATGAAGGAATTTTGAAGTCAATTGACAGCAGCAAAAAAGCAGCGGTAAGTTTTTTTGTAATTATTTTAAAAAAATGGTGGCAGCGGACTGTATTAAATACGAATTAAATTTCAATTTGTAATATTTAGTATATAAAAGATACATATATATATATATATATATATATATATATATATATATATATATTTATATATAATTAAGCACCACAAACGTGTTGATCACCATCAATGTGAATTTAAAATTAAGACTAATTTAAAAAAATGTTTGCATAATGTTTTACGATTATTAGTTATTTATTTAATTAGTTAACAAAATTATATGAATTATAACATTATGCAAATCTTTTCTAATAACACTTAAGACAAAAAATGTTAGATGATTTCAAAACGTTGAAAACTTTGTAGTAAATATATGTATTATATAAAATAAAATAAAATTCATCAGGGGCCAATTCTGCGATAACATAGGGTTAACATTGTGTCTATCTGTTTGCTGTGCGATCAGGCGTATTTTACATACAAACATAAAGAAATAAGTGCGCCATCTAGAATTCTGTTATCATAAAATTCTTCCTTGTTTATATGCAAAATACGCCTGATCGCACAGCAAATAAATTTTTCCCATTTTCACTAACAAGAAACAAGCATAAGATTGTTTTGTCTTATGTTATCACAGAATTGGCCCCATAACTCGAATTTTCTTCGTTTACCAGATTTTTATAAATATTATATTAAATCGATGAAACGTTACGTTAATTATTGTTAATTTATTTATTTGTGTTATTATATTATATATTGTAATAGTTTTTAATGTGAAATACAGGTTTATATACATATGATGATGATGATGATATACTTTGTAATATTGTTGATAAGATGGATCTTATGTAAATTTAATGGATTTGTAGTACAATTGATGATATAAAATGGAATAATTGAAACTTTAAATGGGGGTTTCAGTTTTTTTAGTTTGTTTTAGGAAGATTTATGAGCCTAAGGTGAATTTTAACTGTCAACTAACCTCCAAATAGTATGAATCTTTTGAAGAGAAAAAGGATTCTACTGACATAAAAATGGGATTTTGCAGATAAGCAAATTGAGATGAGAAAACACAAGATTCTAGTGGACTGTAACTTTTAGGCAAGAAGATTAAAAAGGGACTCTACTGACGAGCAAAAAAGAAGGAGAACTGACGTTCAAATTGAATTTTGATAGGAGAAAATAAACAGAACTGACAAGCAAAGAAAAAAAGAAGACTCTACTGACGAGCAAATTAAATTACAAACTAAAAAAATTAACAAGGTACTATACTAACGAGCCAACTATATGTCGACGAAGAAAAAAAGAGGACTCTACTGACGGGCCAACTTTTGTCAACGAAAGAAGAGAGGACTCTACTACGTTCAATACTAAGTCCAATAAAGATGAGATACTAAAAAAGGGACTCTACTGACGAGCAAAGGAGCAATAGGACTCTACTGCCGAGTAAATTAACTTTCAAACAAAAAAAATGAACAAGGGACTCTACTTACGAGCAAATTAAAGTTTAAAGTGAGGGCAAAAAGACTCTACTGACGAGCAAATTGGATTTCAATCAAAAAAATAACAAGATGAAAAAGAACTTCGAATAAAGATGAGAATATAAAAAGGGACTCTACTGACGATCAAAGAAAAAAATAGACTCTACTGACAAGATAACTAAATTTTGATCCAAAAAATTAACAAAGGACTCTACTGACGAGCAAATTATTATAAACATGCAAGATTAAGAAGAAAGTTTAGTAATGATGACAAAATGTAAAAGGGACTCTACTGACGAGCAAACTGTATGTGGACGAAAGAAGAGAGAGGACTCCACTGATGAGCCAATTAAATTTTAAACTAAAAAAATGAACAAGGGACTCTACTGATGAGCAAATTGTTATTAACGTGGAAGATGAAGAAGAAAGTTCAGGAAAGATGAGATAGCAAAAAAGGGGCTCTACTGACAAGCAAATTAAATTTCAATGTCAACAATGAACAATGGACTCTACTGATGAGCAAATCATTATCAATCTGGAACATGAAAAGAAAAGTCCTATAAAGATAAGAAAATCAAAAAAAGGACTCTACTATCTTGAAGATGACTCTACTGACTGATTATTGTATCTTGAAGACAGACGACTCTACTAACGATCAAAGAAGTTAAAGGACTCTACTGACTAGCAAAATAAATTTAAACCTGAGAAATGACCAAGGAACTCTACTGACAGCCCTGGAAGAGGAAAAAGAAAGTCTAAAGAAGCTCAAGATAACATAAAAACTCGGTAAAAACCTATTTTTTAACCCACAATTTTTATCAATCATGGACAGTAACATTTGACAGTATTCAGTGTGTTTCAGTCTATTTTTCGACTTTAAAATCTCAATTCTTAATGATTGAGTTGCTAATTCTGTCATAAAATAGACCAAAGTTATTATTATTTTTTTTTTAATTTATTTTCAATAGCAAGCAGAGTACATGACAAAATGGTACTAAAAACTGTCAAAAGACACGTGTTAGTTGTACAGTCAGACGTTTTATATACTAAATTTAACAAATGTCAAAAACACGATGTTATCATAAATATGGCTTAATAATAAACGAGTGTTATGTATTATATGAAATTTATTATTTATTATTTTATATAAAAAAACGCTACGTAACAATATGTCTATTTCGCAAGTCGATTATTTCTATTTCGTTTTTCAAATCGTAACGGTTTTTATTCTCCACTCGCATGCGGCAACACTTTTGCGCAATGACATTTCAAATAACGGGCACCATTTTGATAAAATCTAATTTACCAAACCGTACAAAATTTAATCGAATACAAATAAAACAAAATAACACACATAAATAAATTCTTTATCAAATTATTTATATATTTTTTCTGATTTATTTTATTTATTTAAATTTAAAGTGTTTAGTCATCGATAGGACGTTGACAGTTGACAGATGACAGGTGCCCCTCTAATGTCACTCGTCCGACACAAAAGATAAAACACTCGTACGCACTCAATAAATGTCCATTTGAATTAATGAAGTTTAAGTGCATTTGTAATATATAGTTTTAGTTATAAAATGGCAGAGAATAGGGAAGAGGTTCTTGCCAATTTTCAGGTAAACTAATAATAATAAATTACATACAAGTCTGTTTTGTGATTCGTGTTTAGGTTAGGTTTTGAATTGTCATTGTATTGCAAATTTTTTCTGTAATTGTTTTGTTTTATATAATTTTTTTGGTTTTTGCAGAGTATTGCAGCTATTGATGATGTCGCTGAGGCTATTCTGATATTGGATAATTGCGATTGGGATCTTTTGGTAAGTTAGGTTAGGAATTGTGATTTCCTTTGTTGTCATGACAAAGAGTAAAAGACTTTGGGGTATGCCCCTTAACAAGTCATTTATTATCATTATTTACAATTAGTTCAAAGCAACTAAGATGTGCAAATGTATTCGTAGAGTGATATTCGCTTGTAGTTCTTTATTTTTCAATTATAATGCGTTTCGTGTATTACTTAGGCAGAAGTGCCTGCTGTGAAGCATTATACAAAATATCTATACATAGTTTATAGTCATTAATATAACTATAATATAATTTATTTTCACATTCATATGTTCGTCTAATATATTTACTTCAATTTTCATTATAATATTTTTTTTATCTTATTTTCAAACTTACAATCTTCCTCAGTCAGCTTGATCTTTTTCGGAAGCTCCTTGAATGGTTTCATAGTACTACACGTATAGTCTTATTTGTTTTAGATGAAAATTTTATATAGTCTTTGATATAAAATATGTGCAATTAAGAAAATTTAGTAAGTTTCAATATAATAATTGAACTTTTGAAACCATTTCATGTAAAATTGTTCTCGTCTTTGCCTAATGAGTTGTTATAGAATTAGGCAGACTGCATTGAAGATTTTGTAAGAAAATAATTAATGAAATTGAACCGAGTAAAGTCAGCATCCTTTTAAAAGGCAAATACTTTAGTTAGAAATTTCTTTATTATTATAGTACCTTGTGACTAAAATGTTTTTATAATATGACTTAAATAACATAGTATATTATGAAGTTGAAGTAAATTGAATATGTAGTCATAAAGCTGTATTCAACAAAATTTGCAAGTAATTATTGAATTTTGTTAGAATTCATGTGAATAATTTATGTATTTAACTTTGTTTAGTAATTTATTATTATGTTCTAAAATTTCAATTTTAATTTCAAATTTTAGAGCAATCGTCCAAAAATTGTAAATAATTTTATTTTTTCATATCTTTACGTTTTAGAGGTTTCCGAACATTTTGGCATACCTTAGAAAAAATGGATGTGTGTGTGTGCGTGCGGATATAAATTTCCGTCAACGATTTCGGGCGCACGGATCAAACGATTTGAATGATTCATTTAACTCTTAACAATTTAACTCGTAATTCGTAATGATGGGGCTGATTAGTTTTTTGCCAAATGCAGGTCCACTTTAAAAATTTTGAAAAACAGATTTTTTTTGAGAATTTTGAAGCTTGAAAAATTTGAATGTTGAAAAACTTGCCTTTTTGAAAATACTGATATATTTTGAAAACTTGATTTTTTTTAAAAAACTAAAAATATTGTTGAAGACTTAAAATTTTTTAAAAACTTCGACAGTCTTTCGTTTTTTTTTGAAAATTTTGAAAGTTTGATACCCTTTCATGTCTCTAGATCCATACTGTGGAAAATATCTGGTTTTCGACTGCCAAATGGTATTTTTTAACTTTTTTTCCTGAATTTCCGAACCCGCTGGACCTGCCCTTTCAAAAATGTGACCAATTCTTCATTACGTCAATATGAGTGGAATATTTTTTGGATCATTCAAATCGAATGCTTCGTTCTCTCAAAAACTAGATTTCTATTTTCTGCACTCTTTGCTCCGTATCTCCGAAACGACTGGACCTGCCTTTATACCAAAAACTAATCAGCGCATTATCCTATCAATACGAACGAAATAATTTTTGAATCATTCGAATCGGATGCTTCGTTCTCTCAAAAACTGAATGACGATTTCTGACACTTTTTGCTTCGTAACTCCGAAAGGACTAGACCTGCTGATGCCAAAAAAATAATCAGCACATCTCCCTATCAATAGGGGTCGAATGTTTTTTGAATCATTCAAATCGTTTGAGCGGTTGAGCTCTTAAAAAAATCGGCAAAAAATTGTATCCGCACATACATACATACACGTACACAAACACAATGTTCAGAAACTTGTGAAACTTATAGGTATATAAAAAGAACATTTTTGATTTTTTGCGAGTACTATAATGTACCCTGGGGAAAGTTAATAAATATTTATTATGAGCGTTTCGACACTATATGTGTGTCATCATATTTTATTAAATATCTTGTTTGTTTGTTTTTTAAAACAATGTCTTTAAAATTTGTGTGTTTTGGATTTTTACTTGTTTGTTTGATATGTATTGTTATTTTTAGTTGTTGAACTTGTTCAAAAAAATTTAAAATTGTAAAATATTTCTTTAGAATTTGTTTAATGAGCTGAATGGTGACACGCATACAGTGTCGAAACGTACACGATAAATTGTTACAAATTTAAAATATTTGTCTGCAAATAAGCATTTCAAAAATGTGTTCCCAACATCGAATAAATTATTTTTAAATTTATTTTATTATTATATTATTTCTGGAACTTTTCGTCTAGTAATTAAAGATTTGCGAAATAAAAATAATCAATCAATCAAAATTTATCAATAACAATTGTTTTGAATACTTTTCAAGTTATTTATTATGAATGCTGTAAATTCCATCGTCGTATTTTATAGATCTAATTAACATAAGTGTTTATATTTGGGCGACGACCTCTATCTATGTTTGTCTCTAAAAACGAAAACAAACTTACGGTATTTATAATTGTTTGAAAATATTTAAAACAATTGTTGTAAAAATGTCTATTTATTTGCTGTGCGATCAGGCGTATTTTACATACAAACAAGCGAGGAAGAATGTTATGATAACAGAATTCTCGGTAGTGCATTATTCCTTGCTTGTTTATATGTAAAATACGCCTGATCGCACAGCAAACAGATAAACATTTTCACTATTTCACTAACAAGAAACAAGCATAAAATAGCGTTGCCATGACAATGATATTTTATTAAGCAGAATTGCCCGGTTATTTTCAAAATAAGTTGATGTCATCTGTTCTACAAGACAAAGTTACCATTTGTTTCTATTTTTTTATTTTCAGGCTGCCATCAACCAGGTGATGCCAGTCGAGGAAGATGCAGGATTTAATCACCTGAACAGGCCTCAAAATGTCGATGTTGTCGCAAATACACCAGAAGCAATTTTACCAGTTGTGAATAATTTTGAAAATGCAGAACGACTAAATAGTAAGTTAATTGATAATAATCAATTCTTAATAACTAACTCACTATAAATTCATTAATAAAGTTATTATAACGGAATTCTAAATACTGCAATTGTCATAACATTCTTCCTTGCTTATTTATATATAAAATACGCCTGATCGCACGGCAAATATAGACATTTTTACAGTTTTCACTAACAAGAAACGAGCATAAGATGCCATGACAACTGTATTTTATGAGGCTTTCCCGGTTAATCAACAATTTCGTTTTTTTTTTTTCATTTTAGATGATATTGCCGGTTCAAGTTCATCAAATTCGAAACCTTGGCAACCTAGAAAGACATTACGATTTCATATACAGCATAAGAATAATCTCATAGAAGTGGAAATATCTGATTCAAACACTGTCGGTGAGTAATAAAATTATTATATTAATTCACAGAGATTTTATTAAAAAACTTCAACTTCAATCTCATTTTTATTTTCAATATTTTTGTTATTCAAATTTTATCAGTAATATAATGATTTTGTTTTTAATTTTTTTTCTAGGTCAATTAAAGAGTCAACTACACCCGAAAGTGGGCATTCCGCCTTGTCAAATGATATTGAAGAATTGGCCGGATGGTTTGAAGCCTTTGGATGAAACTGTACTGTCGACGCTCAACTTGCCACAAGAAAATATATTAATGCTCACTGATATGCAGACATTTGCAACAGATGACTCAGAGTGAGTGGAAATTGAAATATAAACTATTATTATAAACTATTCATTTTTTATTGGTTCCGATTACTTCAGATTTTTAGCAATACCTACAGCATTTAATTTTATATTTTACACTATTTTTATTATATCATGCACCATCTTTGTATGCTCTAAACTATCCAATTCTTTTTATAACTGAATTCTGTATACATTTCCGTCTTCTAACATCTAATTCCAATTTAATCTCAAATTCTGCTTAATTTCAATCCAACAAATAATTCCATGTCAGTGCCGGGACACGAACCGAGTACCCCCGGCGTGTTAGTCGTGCATGCTACTGACTGAGCTATTCAACAATCTAAGTTCTACTCAACTTCAGTCCAACAAATAATTCCACGTCAGTGCCGGGACTCGAACCGAGTACCCCCGGCGTGTTAGTCGTGCATGCTACTGACTGAGCTATTCAACAATCTAAATTCTACTCAACTTCAATCCAACAAATGATAACTTCATGTCAGTGCCGGGACTCGAACCGAGTATCTCTGGCTATTCAACAATCTAAATTCTACTCTATTTTAATCTAACAAATCATCAAATAATTCCACGTCAGTGCCAGGACTCGAACCGAGTACCCGAGTAGAAATAACAAAATGTAATTTATTAAATGTTTGTAAATAAATTTGTTTTTTTCTTTTTGTTTCAGAGCCACGAATAGACTAACACAAATCTATGGACTCGAAATAAGGAATCTGGATTCAGATGTTTGTTACAATCTAAATTTTCCGGGAACAAAAACCATACTAGAAATAAAAAATGATATGTACACATTAACCGATATACCTGCCAGGCATCAGTGTTGGACAGGTAAGAAAAAAAAAATAGATAAAAGAAATATTTAATTGATGAAATAGAATATAAAGTGCAGACTTCTTGAAACAGCACTTTCAAATTGTTATCTATTGTCAATAAGCAGATTGATATCTATTAACAACCTGTGTGTATGAGTGTCGTCTACTGGCGACATTCAGCGTGTCGAATTTTGATTCAAAATTTTGCTTAAAAATTCTGATTTGTTATTGTACTGTATAGTTATTTAGAACAGCAGTTTTTGAATGATGAAATCCATATTAATATGAAATTAAATATAATACTAGGAGTTTCGCAAGGCTCTATTCTTAGCCCATTACTATTTTTAATTCGTGCCTGATTTGTTACAATCTTGCAATATTTTGTCATGAAATATTTTGTCATCTGTTTTTGACGGCCTGTGTGTATGGGTGTCGTTTATAGTCGACATTCAGTGCGTCGTCTATAGACGACATTCAGTTGATTCAAAATTTTTCTTAAGAATTCTAATTTTTTATTGTGCTTTAGAAGAGCAGTTTTTGAATACTATTTTTATCAACATTGATTGGAATGATAAAATCAATATTAATATAAAATAAATTAAATATAAAGTTTGGTGTTCCGCAAGGCTTTATTGTCGGTTCGTTACTATTTTTAATTCGTGCCAGATTATATTACAATCTTGCAATATTTTGTCATGAAATGTTTTGTCATCTGTTTTTGACGAACTGTGTGTAAGAGTGTCGTCTATAGACGACATTCAGCCTGTCGAATTTTGATTCAAAATTTTGCTTAAAAATTCTGATTTGTTATTGTACTGTGTAGTTATTTAAAAGAGCAATTTTTGAATACTATTTTTATCAATATTGTTTGAAATGGTGAAATCCATATTAATATGAAATAAATTAAATATAAAGCTTGGAGTTACGCAAGGCTTGATTCTTGGTCCCCTTTACTATTTTTAATTCGCTTAATTTAATAAATTTAATTATCCCAATTTTGCAATATTTTGTCATGAAATGTTTTGTCATCGGCTTTTGACGACCGTACGAGTGTCGTCTATAGACGGCATCCAGCGTGTCGACTTTCCTTTCAAACTTTTTACACTTTGAGTTATATTATTGAGTTACTTTATTTTTGCGATTTTTAATAAATTATAAGTGAAATTTTCAAATTTTAAATGATAGCTTTACAGAAATTTTTAAAATATTTAAAAAATTTAAAATATTAATATCACTCTAGTAGCAATAATTTAAATCTATTAATTAAATGTATATATAATTATTATGAATATGTGTCTAAAACTAATATAAGAAAGAGTCTAAAACTAATATAAATAAGATTCTCTTAAATTCTTTAATATTATTAAATTAACTGATATCATAATTATATGTATATATCTTATATATAAAATTCCTCTTGTGGTATATGAAAGGATAATCCTCCTAAACGATCATTCGGACTTTGATAATTTTTTCTGAAGTTTGTTAAGGAAATTTTTTAGAATTTTTTGAATTATAGACATATAGTTAGATTGTAGAAATAAATAGAAAAAATTACAGTCGTTTTTTTCATATACAACACTAATATACTCCTAGTTCCATATACTTTAATCATTCAACAGTCCCAAAAAATCTCTAAAAAAATTAAAAAAAATGACCAAAAAACTTCCCGAAGAAATAAAGTCAATGAAAAAGAAATTTCAAAAAAAATGAATTTATGAAAAATACATACACTACTAGTTAATAATAATACAAACAAATTTTTATGAATTTTTCAGGTTGGCCAAAAATGTCTGATCTCGATTCGATGATGTTATGTATGATTGGTTTAGATTCACCAACTCACAAACTTACTGTTAAGAAAACACAAGCACCGTCGTCGAATAGTAAAAACAATAAGGTAAAATATATAATAAAAATCGGATATATATACATATATATATATATATTATATATATTTGTATATATATTTTATTTTTCCCCCAGGGTACATCAACAGCCTCAAATTCAAACTACAATTCAGCAGACCTCTCTCAAGATTCTGACAACAGTTCGACAGCAGGCGATGAGTTCTATGAAGACGCTTCAGAATCTTTCAATATCGAAGAAGACACATTTATCGATCAGATGTCATCGAGGAGAAGTCAACCGTTGATTCCTGAAGATGTGGATGATGAAACGATAGGATCTTTGCACTTTTCGGAACGTTATGCTAATCGATATGGACCGAGGCATCCTACATTCTTTGCAGGTAGGAAAAACTCTTTCTACCTCTTTTCTCTTTGTATATACATATATCTTCTTATATATAAAAATAGAGCTCTCGATAAAATGATCCGCTAACGGCTAAACCGATTTGGCCAGTCTTAGTCTTGAAAAATTCGTGCTAATCAATAGGTTGTCGCAAAGGTGAGATATTATTTCAAAATCGCGTAGAAACTTTACATTTTTAATTTGAACTTTTTTGTAGAAGCGTGATTTAAATAAATCAATGGGCGGCGGCTAATACGTCAAATGTCAAATGTTTTTGACAGATGATGTTCAATTACGTTTAATAGAATGTTTTACGTGAATATCATTTAATTATGATTAAATTGTAGTAAGTAGTTTTGTTTGTATACAAAAACGTTAGTAAACGGATCGCAAGTGTTACTACAAACTCAACAATATCAACTTTTTTGAAATGCTAATATGAAAATGCACTTTTTGGCGTTGTAGCACTCTTTTTTGCAAATCATATTTTTCAGCACGTAGGTGGCGTTTAAATTTACTTTTCAAAGTGATATATCTTTAAACCGGTGGCTCTGAGGAAAAAAATATTTATACATTTTTTGTTGATAATTTTATGCTCTACAATTTTGTCCCAGATAATTCTGCGATAAAACTGACCATTTAGCCGAAAATCGTAAAAATGCATTTTTTTAACATAGATTTTGTGCGAATCTTTAGCTCGCGCCGGAACAATGAGGACTTTTGAGATTTCTTTTAGAATTGTATTTTAAACAATTTTATCAAGTTACAGCCCATTATTAATTTTTGTAACCTGACATTAAACTGCTCCTGAACTGCTGAACCAATTTTAATGAAACTTTGTGTATTTGTCCAAGTTGATTTACAGATTGTTTTAAAACGAAATACAAATAGTAATCGTGTGGGGAAAAAAGATGAAAAAACAGTAATAAATCAATTTGTCATTATATATATATACATATAAAATTCTTTCGTAACAATGTATATAAATATACTCCTTGAAGCTCAAGATGCAATTTTGGATATCTTGAATAATAAAAAATTAAATTGAAATAATCCAACATGAAGTACCAGTATTATGTTTAATAATAAGAGACTAGATTGCTCTCCATGATTTACTTAATAGAATAAATCGCATAAAATGCCCAAAATAAATAAGTAGAAGGTTTCAAAAGACAAATATTATTTAATGATAATAAACTGTTAAAACAGATAAAATAGTAGGGGTGGGGCGCTGAGTATCCCACGAGCGTCCCTGGTAATATTGTATATTAAATTATTACCAAGAAAAATATAATTTAGGTATTATAATTACTAAAAACCAGTTAAAATATGATACGAGTGTAGTTAGCATTTTATAAAAGAATCTAAAAAAATCTAATAAAATCTTATAAAAACCTTATGTAAGAATCCAATAAAAATCTTACAAGGTTCTTGCAAGAACCTAGTCCATTTCTGCCAGAATTCGTATAAGAATCAAATAAGTTTCTTGCAAGAACCTAGTCCATTTCTGCCAGAATTCGTATAAGAATCAAATAAGTTTCTTGCAAGAATCTTATAAGTTTAAGCGATCATCTAATAAGATTCTGGTGGTGATATACTAGGAATTTCATAATATTTCAAAATTCTGACAAAAATCCAAAATGTATAAGAATTATGAAATAAAATAAATAGATATTACAGGACAAGTTACAAGAATAAATTTCTGCTAAAACATTAGCCAGATTCTCTTGCTAGAATCTTGTAAGTTTATATAAGAATCTAATCTAGCGACAATTTACTAGGAATTTCATAAGATTCTGTAAGGTCTAATAAGATTCTAGTAAAAATAAAGGATTTATAAAAATACATTATTATGAATTAAAATAGATAAAGTGGAAAAGGTTACAAGAATAAGATTCTGTTAACCAGATTATGTTAAATCTAATATCTGTACGATTCCAGATCAGATTTTGTTGAAAATCGTGAAAAAATCTGTTGAAGGTGTAAGAAATAACGTAACTGAACTATTACTAAGAAAAATGTAATTTAGATATTATAATTACTAAAAACCAGTTAAAATATGATACGAGATTATAAAAATTGTAGGCAACATTTTTGGAGCAATTATTTTGAGTGAAAAAATCTAAGGTCGTATTGTACATTTTCCAGGGATACTATACATTAATTTTTTCTAAATTTGTTATACCGTTTAAAAGACTTCAATTTGCAATATAGTGTGGTAATTGAGTCTCATCGTTTTATTTAAATGCAGTTCTACATTTAACATCGATCATATTGTAAAATGTATATGCATTTTGGCGTGAAGAGTAATTTAAAAAACAATTATTATTATTTTTAGCTAAACTGTAAATATTAGTATAGGATATTAAAAAATTGTAGACATGGGTACTGGACGTCTGTCGGGTCATCTAGTATATATATATACATATATATATATATATATATATATATTTATTTATTTATTTATTTTCTATTACTATTTTCAGGTAGTTTAGAAGACGCAATGAAAGAAGCTTGTCAGAAATCTGCCAAGGATAGAAAATTATTAGGAGTTTATCTACATCACGACAAAAGTGTTTTATCCAATGTTTTCTGCACACAACTGTTGGGTTTTGAAAGCGTCATTGACGCACTCAGTAGACATTTTGTAGTTTATGGCTGGGATTTCACAAATCCCAATAATAGGAATCTCTTTTTGTCATCTCTGAGCGGGTGCCTCAATTCACAGGTAAGGATAATATGAACTAGTCGTGTATGGCATCGTGCCTTAAGGCAAATTGCCGGAACTTCCCGTACGGTAATGAAATATTCGAGGAATTTTGAACGTTTTCGAATATATTATTACAAATACTGTAACATTCATTAATTGTTTTGCTATCTTTTTATATCTGAGCAAATCAAATGTAAATCTTAAATCAATTTATCTTCATAACATTAACAATCGTCGTTTCATTTCGAATTCAATTTCAAACAAAAAAATAGTTGCCTAATTTACACAAAATTGAAAAAGTGCTCCCGTATAGTCAAAGTCCAAACGCATTTGCAAATAAATCTATGCGACATTTTCACTTATACTGCGCTCAGCTTGGCGGCATTTTCATGTTTTTTAATAGTTTTCTCACAAATTGGAAAAGTGCTCCAAGTACATAAACAGTCTCTAAACGCACTTGGGTAAATATTTGTACCAGAGTGGCGCTTAGACTGTGCTTAGCCTGGGCAATTTTTAAATGTTTAATCCAAAATTACATTTATTTATTTAACATAAAATTGGAAAAGTGCTTCTACAGAAACAGTCTAAACGTACTCGCAAATATATTTGCACCAGGTTATCACTTAGACTGTGCTTAGTCTGGGTAATTTTTAAAATTTTTATTACATTTCTATGAAAAACTTAAAATTGGAAAGTGCTCCTGTAAAGTCACATTCTAAACGCATTTGCAAATAATTTTGTGAGACATTTTTACTTAGACTATGCTTAGCTTTGCGACATTTTCATATTTTTTAGTTTTTCTTCTCACAAGATTGGAAAAACGTTTCTATACAGAAACAGTCTAAACGCATTTGCAAGAATGTTTGCACCAGTTTGTCACTTAGACTGTGCTTAGTCTGGGTAATTTTTGCAATTTTCAGCTCAAAATTACATTTTTGTACTAATTAATAAATAATTGAAAAAGTGCACCCGTACAGTCACAGTCTAATAAACGCATTTGCAAACAATTCTGTGCGACATTTTCACTTGTACTGTGCTTAGCTTGACGGCATTTTCACATTTTTCAATAGTTTTCACAAAATTCGAATTGGAAAAGTGCTCCAGTACATGAACAGTCTAAACGCACTTGGGTAAACATTCGCACCAGAGTGGCGCTTAGCCTGGGTAATTTTTTGATTTTTAATCCAAAATTACAAAAATATTTTTTGAAAAAAAAAATAGAAACAAATTTTTTTTTTTCAAAAGCAATTATTTTGTTGAAACAAGCAGAAAGTTCTTTGAATCATTTAAATCGGACGCTTAGTTCTCTCAAAAAACTGCCATTTTTTTAACATTTAGCTCAGTATCTCCGAAACCGCTGGGCCTGCCTTTGTCAAAAACTAATCAGCACATCTCCCTATTGATAGGAATCGAATGTTTTTTAGATCGATTTCTATTTTCTGCACTCTTTGCTCCGTATCTCCGTAACGGCTGGACCTGTCTTTGCCAAAAACTAATCAGCACATCTCCCTATCAATAGGAATCGAATGTTTTTTGAATCATTCAAATCGGCTGATCCGTGCGTCCGAAAACGTGGACGGAAAAATGCGGACATACATACACACACACGCACACACACACATCCATTTAGTTTCTGAGGTATGTTTCCCTTAAAAATGTTCAGAAACCTTGAAAATGTTGAGAAATACAAAAATTTTCATTTTCGATTTTCGGCCCATTACTATAACTACCCTACGGGAAGTTAATTAAGAAGAACAGGCCAATGTTATGGCAAGGCCTTGTCACGGTCCAACTTCGATACATTATGCTACCGAATCATACTGAATACTGTCAAAATGTCCATGTGGTTGATGTGCATTCATGCGTTTTACACATAAACTGCAACGTCACTCGTATGTTATGAAGCTGGGTCAGAAAGACCCTCGTTTTTTTTACGTTTGTGCGGTTTCTAGGTTAGGTTTTCTTTACGACAATGTGATAAATATACCTGACTGCACAGCAACTACATTCAGAATGATTTAGTATAGAAAGTTCTTCATAACATGGCCTTGCCATAACATTGGTCTCTCATACGGCAGAATCAGTACATTAATTAACTTCCAGTAGGGTAGTTATAGTAATGGACCGAAAATCGAATATGAAAATTTTTTGCATTTCTCGACGTTTTGAAGGTTTCTGAACATTTTACTGGCATACCCCAGAAAAATATTCAAAAAATCACCCAGGCTAAGCACAGTCTAAGCGCCACTCTGTTACAAGTGTTTACCCAAGTGCGTTTAGACTGTTTATGTACTGGAGCACTTTTCCAATTTTGTGAAAACTATTGAAAAATGTGAAAATGCCGCCAAGCTAAGCACAGCATAGGTGAAAATGTCGCACAGAATTATTTGCAAATGCGTTTAGACTGTTTATGTACTGGAGCACTTTTTCAATTTTGTGTAAATTAGGCAAATAGCAAAAATAATGAAAGTTACAGTATTTGTTGTAATAATATATTGGAAAACATTCTGTATTCCTCGAACATTTCGTTACGGTACGGGAAGTGCCAGAAATTTGCCTTAAGGCACGATGCCATACACCACTAGTTTTGTTAAATACATATTTGCAATATATAATTTTTTTACAGGCTGCTATGCAAGTTCGTAACATTGCCGTAGAACGTCTGCCTGCTTTTGTGATTATCATGAGAACGAGGTCTATTACTGAAATTTATACGATAGTCAATGGTAATGTTGGCGTCAACGAGCTCATGACTTCGATTTTGGAGGCTGTTGATATTTTTACTGAGGGCGTTCGATCTGAGATAAGGTAATAATATAAATAGTGAAAGCCAAAGCATTATAAAACAGTAGAAAATTAGTAAACAGTAGAAAATTCCATTTAAATTTGTAATTAAGCATTTTTGAAGTAAAACTTCTTTAGGCGCGACTTGGGTGTAAATCCGTACAAATGCAACGGAAGTGCGTTACGGCAGAGTCGAGTGCCAATGATTCATCATTCGCTCTCGATGGTATCATTTCTATACGAATCGATTGTGATTGGTCGCGTATGTGAATAGAGATTTGTCGTTGTTTTATTTAAGCATATTTCAAAGTAACTAGCAGCCCATTTGTTGAAATAAAAAAAGTAATAAAGTATTTAAGAACTTTTATTTATACGTTTCGATATCAGATGCGTGTCATCATTCAACAACTACATTAAATTTGAAAAAAAAAATTACTAATAATAAAAAACAATTATAAAATAATTATAAAAATAGAAAAACATTATACATACCACCAGGACAAAAACACTTAAAAAATTATTTTTTAAAAAATTAAACTTGTAATATATTAGAAAAGGACATTTTTATGGAAAAAATAATGAATAACTACAACATTAAAAACATTTTGAAAAAAGTTTTGCTTTTATTGCGTTTATCATTATATAAATGTGTATAATAGTTGACTACACTGATAAATGTGTGCATCACGAGTGTTACCTACCATATTACTAATAGACATTATTCAAAATTGTTACATGATGTATTTAGTTTTTAAGTAACAAATAAGTTTTACTTTATTTATTAACTTTCCGTAGGGTAAGTTATTGTAATGGGCCGAAAATCGAAAATGAAAATTTTTGCATTTCTCAAGTTTTCAAGGTTTCTGAACATTTTTAAGCGGCATACCTCAGAAACCAAATGGATGTGTGTGTGTAAAACCTTCTGCTTGTATTGACAAAACAATTGCTTTTGAGGATAAAAAATTATTACATCTTTTTTTATTTTCCATAAAATATTTTTGTAATATTGGATTAAAAATTCAAAAAAATATCCAGGCTAAGCACAGCCTAAGCGCCACTCTGGTACAAATGTTTACCCTAGTGCGTTTAGACTGTTTATGTACTGGAGCGCTTTTCAAATTTTGTAAAACTATGTGAAAAATTTGAAAATGCCGCCAAGCCAAGCACAGTATAAGTGAAAATGTCGCACAGAATTATTTGCAAATGCGTTTAGACTGTGACTATACTGGAGCACTTTTTCAATTTTGTGCAAATTAGGCAACTATTTTTTGAAATTAAATTCTGGAGATAAATTTAATTATGATTTACATTTGATTTGCTCAGATTATTATTAAATTATAAAAATGTAATTTAGAGTTAAAAAATTGAAAAAATGTGAAAAACTACCCCTGCTAAGCACAGTCTAAGTGACAACCCAGTACAAAAATTTTTGCAAGTGCGTTTAGATGTGACTATGAGGGAGCGTTTTTATAAATTTTGTGAAAACTTTAAAAAATGTGAAAATGCCGCCAAGCTAGGCACAGTATAAGTGAAAATGTCGCACAGAATTATTCGCAAATGCACATTAGACTGTGACTATGAGGGAGCACTTTTTCAATTTTGTGCAAATTAGACAACTATTTTTCTTTTTGAAACTGAATTCGAAATGAAATGACGATTGTTAATGTTCTGGAGATAAATTGATTGATTTATGATTTACATTTGAATTTTGAAGTAGAACTTCTTAGGTTGGCGATGTATAAATTAGTAAAATAGAATTTTATTTTTGAAGTAAAACTTTTTAGGTCGCGATGTGATATAGAGTCTGTTTTGATTAAACGTAAACGAGACAACAGTATATAGTAGGAAAATGAGATATATATATATATATATATATATATATATATATATATAAACACTAGTGCGAAAAAGAGCAACATATACCTGACAATGTAGAGTGACAGAGTAAGATATATGAGTACGATGTGACCACCAAATTTAAGCAACTACCTTTTTAAATGTAAATTTTTGATAAAAGGACAAGAGATACCAATTTTTGTTGTTAATAAAAATTGTAGATAATTTAATTGGCTATAAATTTGCTGAATATTGCAAAATGGTGGGACATTTCGTTTTGAAGTTATAAATAAATAAATTAAAATCGAGCCGGTCCAAAAGTGTGAAGCAAGATATACTGATGCGACCTCCAAAATTTAACAATAACCTGTTTCATTGCAAATTTTGGGTGAAAGAATATGAGATACAACATTTTGTTATTAACAAAAGTTGTAGATAATTTAATTGGCTAAAAATTTGCTGGATATTGCAAAACAATCGGACAATTTGTTTAGAAGTTATAAACAAATAAATAAAAATCGAACCGATCCAAAAGTATAAAATAAGATATATTAAAATGTAGCCTCCTCAATTTAACAACAATCATTTTAGTTCTTATAAATGCCGCCAAGCTAAGCACAGTACAAGTGAAGATGTCGCACAGAATTATTTGCAAATGCGTTTAGACTGTGACTATACGGGAGCACTTTATCAATTTTGTGTAATTTTGGAGGCAACTATTTTTTTGAAATTGCATCCGAAATGAAATGACGATTGTTAATGTTCTGGAGATAATATTGATTTTTTATTTATGATTTACATTTGATTTGCTCAGATATAACAAACAAGATAGCAAAAATAATGAAAGTTACAGTATTTGTAATACCACGTTTAAAATTTCTCGAACATTTCGTTACGGTACGGGAAGTTCCAGCAATTCGCCTTAAGGCACGATGCCATACACCACTAGTTTGTATATTCCTTATATTATCAATTATCTCTTTCCCCCAGAGAGGAGGAAGAGAGAGCCGCCCGAGAGAGAGTCAAGTATGAGCAGGACGAGGCGTACAGAGAGAGCCTGGAGGCGGACAGAGCGAAAGAGAGGGAACGAGCGCAGAGGGAGAGGGAGGAGCGCAGGGAAAGGGAGAGGCTGGAGGCGGAGCGAGAGAAGGCGCTGAGAGAGAGGGAAGAGAGGAAGGAGAAGGTGAAGAAGCAGCTGCCGCCTGAGCCGGAGGATGGAGGAAGCGGTGATGGTGAATAGGATATAATCGATGATGTGTATATATATATATGTGTATACTCGTATATATGTATATATATATATATATATATATATACATGGTCTGTTCAAAAAGTACCCGGAATTACTAATAATTAAATTTCGCGGGTCTGGAGTGTCTGATTGTCAAAATTTTTTTTTATTGTGTTGGTATACATGCCCCTAAAGTATGATGAAATTTTCAGCTATATTCACTGTTTACTTTGTCTGTGGTAGTCGCTAAGGTTCGACGTGTTTTTCTGAGCTCGGCGATTTTTACAATGGAAGAATTGAAAAGTCAAAGAATTTGTATTAAATTTTGCGTAAAAAATGAAATAAAGTGTTGCAAAGTGCAAAAATTCACCCAGATATGGCTCCGTGTGACTTTTTCCTATTCCCAAAGTTGAAGAGACCCATGAAAGGACGGCGGTTTTCCTCGGTTGAAGAAAATCGCCGAGAGTGCTCAAGGACATATCAAAAAGTGAATATCAAGGGTGCTTCGAAAATTGGAAAAAACGCTGGCATAAGTGTATTATATCTGGGGGGACTACTTTGAAGGGGACCACATTAATGTAGACGAATAAATAAATATTTTTTTGAAAAAACGAAAATTCCGGGTACTTTTTGAACAGACCTCGTATATATTGTGATAACGTTTTTTAGCCACAAGTCTTTTATGTTTAGATAATAACTATATGAACCATACATTGGATTGTTTTAACTCTTTCAGTAAACATTTGCAGTACACTTGTGAACAAGAGATTGACAATTCTTTTAGCTTTTTAGATATTAAAATTATTAGATTTAATAATAACAAAATTTATACAAACTGGTATCAAAAGCCAACTTGGTCCGGTCGTTACATTAATTATTAACTTCCCGAAGTAGAAGTTTATGGTTTCATAAAAAAATCTGATTCGCTAATTTTATGTTTTCTCGACGTTTCAAGCCATTCTGAATCGAATGAGACCAAATTTGGAAAAAGTGTGTGTGTACGTATGTGTGAACAGATTTTCTGCCGTAAATCGACGTTTTCTCAAAAACGGCTGGACCGATTTCAAAAATTTAAAAGGCATTCGATGTATCTCGACGAGGACTAGCGTTTGTCAACTTTGTGGGACGATCGGCCGTTCATTATAAATAGCAATAAAGTAAAAAAAAATCGTCCACGTTTTAGCCCGCAATTCTGAATCGATTCTGAAAATTCAAAAACCGTTCGATAGATATTGGTTGGGAACCGTGCTGATTAGTTTTTGGTACAGATCGGCCGGGCCGTTTTCTTGTAATAAAGTTTAAAAACAAAAATTTCTACGATTTTTATGATTTTTTATTTGACGGTAGATACCATAGTCTTCTAGATCATACTAAAATTTTACGGCCCTACGACAATGGGTTTAACTTTGAAAATTCGTCAAAGTTTGCAAAAATTGGTATCGTTTCATTGGCATTTGTCAAAATTACCTTTCATCGACGTTTGCTCAAAAACGCCTGAACCGATTTCAGAAATTTAAAAGCCATTCTTTGTATCTCAATGAGCACTATAGTTTTGTTGGCGATCTGCCGAGTCGTTTCTTTGTAATTTGAAAAAAAGTGTTGAACCTTTCGTCCACATTTAAGCTCATTCTACCGAACCGATTTAAAAAATCAAAAACTGTTCGAAAGATATTAGTTGGGAATGGTACTGATTAGTTTTAGGTGAAAATCTACCGAGCCATTTTCTTGTAATTCGTTGTTGAAAAAAAAAATTGAGGCAATTTTTATAAAACTTTTTTTGGCGATATATATATATCATGGTCTTATAGAACTTACTGAAATATTATGGCCGTACAAGTTTAATTTTAAAAATTCGTCCAAGATTAAGAAAATGAGTAGTTTTTTTGACGTTTTTTGACGAAAATTAAAATTGGACGATTTTACTTGGTATAACGATAGAGTACTTGGTTTTAATGAACATATCAAGCTATTAAAGTCCTATGGAAACTGGTCCAATTATAATAATTGTTGATTTCTAAAAATTTACTTTTAAAAAATACTCCTTGTCAAAGTGTTCGTTCGTTTTCAATTATGTTTTTAAATTCACTGGGAATACTTTTAATCACTCATAATTTAATTTAGTTTTTATTGAAAGTCAATTATTTAAACATATCGGGAAGTTCATGTAACTTGCCTCAAGGCAAGATACCAAACCAACTAGTTTCTTATACCTTCAACAGATTTTTTTCACAATTTTCAACAAAATCTGATTGGAATCCTACAGATATTAGATATAACATAATCGTATAAAACTCTTACCAGAATCTGGTTAACAGAATTTTATTCTTGTAACCTTTTGCACTTTATTAACTCAGTTATTATAGAATGGGCCAACTTTGCATCTCAAAATTTGAAAATGAATAATCGGATTTTTATTCGCAATTCAAAAATTACTGTATTAATGCAAACGCACGGTAGTAATATATCAAAATCTTGAAACATTAAATGTGCAAATTCAATGTATATAGAACCAGTTTCAGATTAGCTTGGCTCTTGCAAAGACTATTATTGAGAGACATTTATATGTGGCGCGCTTTGCAATGGGTAAACTATTCTTATAGTTTTTGTTAACTGCCCTTTTCGCTTATGCACCACATTTGCAATCAGTTGGTTATTTTCATACTAAATATTTTATACTAGAAATATTTTTTATGGCAAAACCACATTTGCAGCTAGTATATATATATATATATATATATATATATATATATATATATATATATATATATTTTATCTGCCAATTAAAAATATAAACTAATATAATTTTTCTTTATTTTCAGGTATTACAAAAATAAGGATACGACTGCCAACCGGTAGCTTTGCCGAGAGGCGTTTTCTAATCACGACAGAATTAAAAGTAACTTAAATGGGACGATTCGAACTAACTCATTGAATACGTTGTTTATAATTTTGTATGTTTCTTTTTCAGGTATTATTGGATTACATGATAGTTCTTGGATACCCAAGCGAGGATTATAAATTTATTTCGAGCTGGCCAAGGAAAGATGTAAGTGATAATAAGTTCAATAAGTCATGCATAATTTAATAAATAATTAACTTCCCGAAGGAGAAGTTTATGTTTTCATCAAAAAATCCGACTCGCTAATTTTATGTTTTCTCGACGTTTTAAGCCATTCAGAATCGAATGAGACCAACATTTGGAAGAAGTATGTGCGTGTGTGTGTCTGCGTGCGTGTATGTGTGTGTGTGTGTGTGAACAAATTTTTTGCCGTAAATCGACGTTTGATTGGGAATCGTGCTGATTAGTTTTTAGTGAAGATCGGCCGGGCCGTTTTCTTGTAATAATGTTTAAAAAAAAAAAATCGACGATTTTCATGATTTTTGTTGATGAGTCTTGTAGAATGTAGATCATACTAAAATATTACGGCCCTTCGACAATTGGTTTAACTTTGAAAAATCGTCAAAGTTTGCAAAAATTAGTATCGTTTATTTGACATTTGACAAAATTAAACCTTCGATCGACGTTTTCTCAAAAACGCCTGAACCGATTTCATAAATTTAAAAGCTGTTTGATGTATCTCAATGAGGACTATAATTTGTCAGTTCGTGAGACGATCTGCCGAGCCGCGTCTTTGTAATTTGAAAAAAAGTGTTAAACTTTTCGTCCACATTTAATCTCAAACTACCGAATCGATTTTAAAAATCAAAAACTGTTCGAAAGGTATTGGTTGGAAATGATACTGATTAGTTTTAGGTGAAAATCTACCGAGCCGTTTTCTTGTAATTAACTGTTGAAAAAAAAATTGAAGCCGATTTTTATGGAACTTTTTTTTGGCGATATATATCATGGTCTTATAGAACTTACTGGAATATTACGGCCTTACGACAAGTAGTTTCATTTTAAAAATTAATCAAAGATTAAGAAAATGAGTAGTTTTTTTGACGTTTGTTAAAATTAAAATTAGACGATTTACTTAGTACTTGATCTTAATGAACATAGTAAACCATTAAAGTCCTATGGAAACTGGTTCAATTATAAAAACTGGTGATTTTTGAAAATTTGCTATTAGAAAATACTCCGAGTCAAAGTGTTCGTTCGTTTTCAATCATGTGTAACAAATCCACTTGGAATACTTGTAATCACTCATAAATTAAATTATTTTTTATTAATTAAGTCGATTAATTACACATATCGGGAAGTTCATGTAACTTGCCTCAAGGCTAAATACCAAACCAACTAGTTTAATAATACTTCGGACCGACTGGAAACTAAACTTACTAGGCAATTCTGCCTCATAAAATAGCGTTGTCATAGCAACGCTATCTTATGCTTGGTACTGTGAAAATGTCTAACTATTTGCGTATTTTACATATAAACAAGCAAGGAAGAATCTTGTGATATACTAGATATTAATTCTAATTCTAACTAGTGTGACTTATGCATTATTATTTGTATCCTTTATCTTTCAGTTAACAACAATCGACCCAGTATCGACACTTCAAGAACTGAAACTGTATCCTCAAGAAACTGTAATCATCGAAGAGCGCTGATAATGTGATGATCCTGATAGTGTTAGAGACTAAACTAAAGTCCCCCCCAACCCATCAGACCATTATTATTATCGAGCCAAACGATTAAATTTACTTTATCTCAATTATGAAATATCAAAACTGCGCTGGTTGTAATTTGCCAAACAAAATTGATCAAAAACAAAAACGAGTGAAATATTTTTTTACGTGTGAACTGTCTCGTTTGATTCGTCTTTTATATACTGTTGTTGATTATGATGATTTTACCCTTTTTTTTTTGGTTAGCTTAGGGAGACTAGGCCAGGAGTATATATTATATTTTTGTGTACGATTTTACATAATTTTTGCTATGATTATATAATTATATATGTATTTATTATTATAAGAATTGGATATTCTTGTATTTTAACCCGATAGAAATGTATTTATAATAAAAATAGTTTTATGTTAAATTCGTTTTCATTGGAAAAAAGATGTGCGGGTGCAATTTTTTGGCGGCGTTTTCGGGAGCACTGCTCAACCGGTTTGAATGATTCAGTAAACATTCGATTCGTGTTGACGGCGTAAAGTGCGGATTAGTTTTTGTAAAAGGCAGATCCAGCCGTTTCGGAGGTACGCAGCAAAAAGTTACGTTAAGTTAAAGTAGTTAAAATTACAAATCGAGTTTTTAAGAGAACGGAGTATCCGATTTGAAAGATCTAAAAAATATTAAATTTGTAATGATTGGGAGAAGTGGTGATTAGTTTTTGGCAAAGACAGGTCCTGCCATTTCGGAGATACGGAGCTAAATGTGCAAAAAATAGTGGTTTTTAAGTGATATATGATATAGAATTAGAAACTTAAAAACCACTATTTTTTGCACATTTAGCTCGTATCTCCGAAATGGCAGGACCTGTCTTTGCCAAAAACTAATCACCACTTCTCCCAATCATTACAATTTAATATTTTTAGATCTTTCCAATCGGATACTCCGTTCTCTTAAAAACTCGATTGTAATTTTTAACTACTTTAACTTAACGTAACTTCAATTTGAATGATTCAAAAACTTTCTTTCTGCTTGTTTGACAAAATAATTGCTTCGATGTCATTTTTTGCCTACTTTTTCGGGAGCACTGCTCAACCGATTTGAATGATTCGTTAAACATTCGATTTATTGATAGAGAGATTTGTTGATTAGTTTCTGTGAAAGTCAGGTTCAGTCGTTTTAGAGATACGGAGCAAAAAGTGCAAAAAACAACAATTCGATACGATACAATTTTTCGACGACGTTTTCTGGCGCACGGATCAATCGATTTGAATGATTCATTATACATTCGATTCGTATTGATGGGGAGACGTGTTGATTAGTTTTTGTGAAAGGCAGGTCCAACCATTTTAGAGATACGGAGCAAAAAGTGCAAAAAACAACAATTCGATACGATACAATTTTTCGTCGACGTTTTCGGGAGCATTGCTCAACCGATTTGAATGATTCATTAAACATTCGATTTTATTGATAAGGAGACGTGTTGATTAGTTTTTGTAAAAGGCAGGTCCATCCGTTTCGGAGGTGCGGAGTAAAAAGTGCAGAAAATACAAATCGAGTTTTTAAGAACGGAGTGTCCGATTTAAATATTTCAAAAAATATTCAATTTGTAATGATGGGGAGAAGTGGTGATTAGTTTTTGGCAAAGGCAGGTCCAGCCATTTCGGAGACACGGAGCTAAATATGCAAAAAATGGCGGTTTTGAGAAAACTAAGTATTCGATTTGTATGTCAAGTTTTTGGATTTGTATTTTGGAATGATTCAAAATTTTCTTGTGTGCTTGTGTTGACAATTGCTTTTGAAAAAAAATTATTTCAAAGTTTTTTATTTTTTTTTTGTATATATAGTAAATAGTTATCTACTTCAAATGTGTTTCAAAATCTTTGCCAACGACAAGTTAGTCAATCTCTCTAAGAGTCCATGTTTCTGATCTTTAGAGAATAACTTTCTTAGAGTCCATGTCTTTGATCAGTCGAAAATGTTTTGATAAGTCATTTATTATTAACCAGTTGTCACATCATCATAGACCCTTTTTCGTTCTCATTTTTTATTCAATTCCAAA